TAGGTTATATGTAAAACTTAGATATTTCCTGAGGTTTGGCTCTGAGATATCTTCCCTTATAAATCTGTCTCTGAGTATCTCAACTACACTCAGGACATCAACTATTATTTCTCATCCAAACCTGAAAATCAACATTATCAGCCCCAAACTCTGTCCTAATCCCTAATAAAATCGCTAGTTCCCAATCTGATTATCCTACCACGATAGTCATTGGCTGACAGTCCCCAATAGTCATTTCAGCGAACAAAAATTAAATGTCAGTGAACAACAGATCACCCGACCACAGTGGAAGAAAGCCTCCAGTGTAAAAGAGTGAACAAGGCAGGGTAGAAAGGAAAAATGAAACTCTGAAGAAATAAAAGCAAGAAAGCATCACAAGTAAATTTTACTAAAAAGTAAACAATGTTTCTAAAATCCTGAGACACAAGAGAAGTTAAAACATCCATGAGAACCAGAATGCAATGATATAAATAGGGAAGAAATAGAGAAAAAAAGACTGAGAGGGTTTAATATCTAAGTCCTGAATATGTGCTTCACAGAGAAATGGAATAGAAAAAATATAGGGGGTATTTCATTGAGTTATGTGGATACATATTTTTTTGAGTGTGACTGCTCACCGAGTGTCTAAGGGGTAGAAGAAAAAAATGAAGTGCCAAACCAAAGCACAGTATTGTAACATTTTAGAACACTAGGGTAAAAAGGAGTACAAAATAAAAAAGAAAGAAAGAGAGAAAAGGAAAACTGATCACACAGGGCTCAGAAGCAAAGTAGTCTCTCAATAACAACAGTGGAAGATAAATGATATTGGACAGGCACTTTAATATTTTGAGCAAATATATATATTTTCAAACTACAGTTCTATAAGCAGCCAAAATATCAGTTGAGTTTTGGATGGAATAAAGGCATTTGGTCTGCAATGAGCTCTAGGCTCCAGTCAAGCAAGAAGCAGAAACAGGTAGGAGTTACCCAAGACAAACACAAAGGATGCAGGATGAAGGAAACCCAGCATCAGAGAACAGGGAAGGTAAATTTGAAGATGAATTTTGTGGAGTAGACCTACACAGCAGTTGCCCAGTTGGACTGGGCCAGTAGTCTAAAGCCTCCAGGAAGACCAAGGGTGGATTTATTAGTGAAATTAAATTGAGAGGAATTTAAACATTCTTTTACAGATTTCTAGAAGAATTCCTGATAGGTGTACATGAACATAAGCAAAAAAACAAACAAACAAATAAACAAAAAAGTGTGCTTATTCTTCATTCAAAGGAGAACAAATATTGTACCAGAAAAGAAATGCCACAATAATATCATAACACTCGGCTCACAGTCTATATTTATACTGTTCTAATAAATTCTCAAATTCTGAATATTGACATGATCAGTGTTTCTAAAGGCATTATATAGGGGAAGGACCAAAAGAAGGGAAAGTGGAGGAGAGAAGGTGGGACAGGGAGTAGAGTGGGCCCCAATCATCATCTTCCAAAGTAGGAAATCAAAATAATGTGTAAAATTGTAGAAGAAGTAATATTTAGAAATAGGGAAAAAATTCCAGAAGAAAAAGATAAAACAGGTGTTCAGGAGTGTTTAAAGATAAGGAGTATGTGTGTGGGAAGGGGCAGTGAAAGTGGAGAGGGGACAAATTTTTTCTGTTTTTCATTGTAAGTCTTGCAATATCTCTAGTGTCCATTAGAAATGTAAAATATGGCATCTTTTTCACGTATTACTTTGATAAACATTTAAAAATTATTTGAAAATTATTCAGGTTATTTTTGGTTGTTTTTTTAATACCAGTTAAATTTTGGATAACAGATATCCAAAAGCTAACCATAGTTATAAATTTAATTGTGTAATTTAACTCAATTTTCTGTCTTTAGGATCTTGGGAACTTAATTGACATATATAAAGTGCTAGGAAGTATTCTTTGTAAAGGCATCTAGACTTTCCTGTAGATATGTGTCCATTTACACTATGATGCCTGTGTATAATTTTTAGATTTGTTACTTCCTAATTTACCAGGATGTGATTTTATGGCCAGCAAATATTAAAGAACAATAAATGATTCACAGAGTATTGTACAGGAACAGTTTGACGATTAAGTTACATTGATCATGTCTTTGTCTAAAGGGCAGACCTTTAAAATATGTTACAATTTTCAAAAGAAAAACATCTAAGTCCAAGACTGCTTACTTGAGAATCAAAATACTTGCAGATGGCTATGATATTGCATTTCCCCTTCCTTTTTTTCCTGCCATTTATAAAGAAATTGTATTTTTGAACAATTAAATATTATCAGTTACTTTTTCTGTGTTACATATCTTAAAGAAAAGACTGGGTTGCAAAGAACATTTAAAAACTTTGTATAGCCCTGACTGGTGTGGCTTAGTAGGCTGAACGTTGTCTGAGAAAGCAAAAGATTGCTGGTTTGGTCAGGGAACATGCCTGGGTTGTGAGTTCCGTCCCTGGTCAAGGTGTGTGCGAGAAGCAACTGACTGATGTTTCTCACATCAATATTTCTCTCTTGTTCTTTCTCCCTGCTTTCCCCCTCTCTAAAAACAAGTAAACGCAATCTTTAAAAAATGTCCTGGAAGTACGGAGTGGTTTAGTGGCCAGGTTTTCTAAAGCAGACTTATTGCTACATGAAAATAAAACTGATAGAGAGGAGCGGGAACCTGTAATCAGCTTTACTTTTGTAAACTTAGATCACAGGTGATAATTCTAACAATGATGAAATATAAAGAGGTTTAACAGAAAACATGTACTAGGTGCAAAAGCACCAGAACAAAATTTAAAAAGGCCTCATTCTAGTGTGTACACGGGTTACTTTATTTTCTCCAACAACCAAGGGGTAAAGGTGCAGAAGGGCCCCCTCTCAGGCAACCCTTGTCCCAATCTGGCCTGAGGCCATCACTACAGTTTGTATCTTTCATTTCTGGGTTTAGATGTTGTTTTCTTATCAATGATGGAATTTTAGTTTTTCCCCATAATTTAATATTGTTCGTATAACCCCTTAGGTCAGTTCTGGCTAGTTTAAACCATCAGATAAATGTTTCTCAGCTTCTTAAATCAATTCTTCCAGAGGAAGTGCCTCTAGACAAATTCAATCTCTTCAGTTTATAGCTATTTTCAAAATAATTTAGAAGCTCCCCTCTAACTCCTGACATGTTTAGCGATCTCCTGTATTTCCATCATGTCTTTAGGTAAATATTTCATAACACAGTTGCATTTTGGTAAGTCTAATTGCTTGGGTAAAGGGATTCAACACTCTCAATTTCTTTCTGAAGGAAGTAAATGCTGCTGTAATGCAAAAATTTTGTGTTCCAAAGCTTGTGGTAATTACGGAAAAATAGCATGAGTGTTTCTTTAAATAGAATATTCTTCTTGTGGGCTGTACTTGTGGGTTTTCAATGCTAATGTTAAGTGACCACTAATTTTATGTAGTGCCAGACAAAACTGTATTTTATTCATTATAGATGAAACACATTTTGGTACTCTTACAGATGACTGCGTGAAATTTAAAGGAAAACTGATGCTTGCCTGAGCTCTACAGGACAGAAATTTACATACACACTTTGAACAATTTTATTTTTACTCTTCAATTCCTTTAATGAATTATGGGGTTTCTCCTGGCTTTGTCATTTGGGACTTCAAGCTGTTTAGTATCTGCAAGGGGTGTTACCAGAGATTACTCAGTACTCAGAGTGATTGAAAAGAGAGGCCTGCGTTCTAGTACATATTCATAAAGCACATCCTAATGCTCTCAATGTAATGGAAATCAAACTATGGCTGTTTTTTGCATCATGGCATTTCCTTTGTACCTTGGAATGGCATTTCCCAAACAACAGAACAAGTTTCTTTAGGGATTGATGCAGGATTCTAGTACTACCCTTGGGTGTGTTCTAGAATAATGATCAAAAATAAGATTTTATCATATCATGCATAGGACCAGAAAGTTATTTTATTTGCACAAAAAAGTAATTTAAAAATCATAATTATCTCTTGTATGTTGAAAAGAAAATCATATAGTATCTGCAATAGTGAAATCTTCTATTAAAACATAGATATTAGCACATACAAATATACTTAAGTGTGCGTGTATACACATGTGTGTGCGTGTGTGTGTACTTAATATACACATCTCTGTACAGAGATGTGAACGAGGCTTTGCTATCTACTAAAGGAAATGTTTCATTTCCTAGGATTTTTAGAATCTTTGTCCCCACTTCTCTGTCGTTTTATTTCTCTTTCAATTTTTCACAGCTGCCTTGAAGTATTTTCCTTACTTTACTCAGTCATCTTTATTATCCACAATTTTCTCCTTCTTAATTCTTTCTCCACTATTTCTGTGATACAGATCTATCAGGTTTTAACCAATTAATTAAATTACTTTCGCTAAAGAGGACTTTAGTTCTTAAAGTTGAAGAAACAAATACATAGCAAACTAGTTTATTTTTCTTTCTAATTTTGATTGTGTGTGTGTGTATATATGTGTGTGTGTGTGTGTGTGTATGTATATATATATATATATATATATATATATATATATATATATATCCAGCTAGTCTTTTAATAAGCTAAAACTCCAAATACATCCATTTGAAATTTTAAAAGTATATAATAACTGAAATATTTTTGTACTATACTGTCTAATTTTAAAAAAATCCCTTTACTTGCACATAATAGGTTTCTGTTAAATGCATCATAACAGGACAAATGCCAAATTTTAGAAAAACATAATATATCAACCAACTTTTGAGAAAGAACAATTGTTTACATTCTGATGAAAGGTAAAATTCTATAAGTACATAAATTCAGTAGGTGAATTAACATCTCAGATGTTTTATTTTTCTTCATGTCAAAGATTTCTCCTTGGAGACAGAACAGGAAAACAAGGAGATTCCAGTCTGTCACTGCTCACCTCAGTGATAAGGAGCCTTTGTTTACAACACCTGAAAACAAAGGATGAGTTAATATAAACAGCAATTCATAATGTAAAAGAGTTTTACCAAAGACAGTTAGCTCTGCTGGGTCACTGTCTCTCTCTCCCACCATGTTGGTGCCGACACAGGTGTACATCCCTGCATCACTTTTCCTGGTGTTGGAGATCATCAGTTTTCCACCACGGATCTGTTAAAAGTAAATAAAGAAGAAAGAAAGAAGAGAAAAGGGAATGGAAAGGAAAAGTCACTAATAAATAATTTTGAATATTTAAGTACCACATTCGTTTTCCCTAAAAGAGCGAGCTGAGTGTCTAAGACTCAAACTTTCCCACTGGTTTGACATCTGCATGTGTCCTTTCTTCTGTTCAATTCTCCCCCAGTATAAGCCTCCAGCTCCCTCTCTAGGGAATGCTCCTGTAAGGCCGTCTTCCTCCCCTTCCTGATCTTGTTTTGACTCTTGTGACCACCCACCCCCATTAAATACCAATGGTTGGTCTTCACCCTGCAATTTGGTTGGATGAATCATTATTGGCATTTGTCATAAGAAAGGGACACTGAATATCTGCTTTAGATAATAAAATGAAAACCAAAGGACGCAGAGGGATTGCACAAGTATTTAATGAATTCCTCTATGGGCTGGGCAGTTTTCTAGGCACTTGAGCATCAGTAATAATCCAAATATAAAATTTTTGTGCTAGTGGAACTTACATCTTCAGTTGTTCATATTAATTATCTTGGTCTCACCTTAATTTTATTTGTGAGATAATTTTTGAAGAGTAGAGTAGGTTGGACAAAAACAAATCCAGTGTTTTAAATGATGACTGTGAGTTGGTACAAATCATTGGTTTTTAATATCTTCTCTCTAAATTTCTTAAATAAGAAGCATTTGACTGAATAAACAAATGTAATTACGTTAAACTGTATGTTTGTTAAAGAAGATATTAAAGAAGAATTAGGAAAATTAGGTTTTTGGTCAGTGTATCATTAACTCATAGCTTCCTTTCGAATCTTGGTGTTTTATTTTATTTTTTGTATTTACCTAATTCAACAATCTTCACTTCACCGTGATTTAGAATTCTTAAAGAGATATGAGATAAGAACGTGCTCCTTTCAGTTGTTAAGTTTTAAATTCACAGGCAAACAAAACTCAAGTAGGTATAATTTTATCAGAAATATTTTAGGCTTTAAAACTTGTCATATCATAGAAAGTAATTTTCAACTTTTTAAAAATTTTACCTGGGAAGAAAAGACTATCGATGTGTTCTTATATATAGTAGAGCATAATGGACTCTGAGTTATAAAAATGACCATGGAGGCTACGTCTCCTCCCCTTGAAGCTGAGTTCGGCAAGATGCCTTGATTTGATTGATGGAACTAAAGCACATTTTCAGTAGAAGGAAGGTGCTTGCACATTGGGACATGCCTTCTCTTGCTGTAGTTGGAACCCTGAGATCACCATGGGAACGAGCCTGAGCTGGCCTGCTGGAAATTAAAGGCCATGAAGAGAAGAAGGATGATGCCCATCTGAGGGTCATTTGCCAGACACGTTAGTAAGGCTATCCTAGATCATCTAGCTGTCAGCACATCTTTAGAAAAAGCCACAGAAGAATGAGAAACCCCAGCAAAAATCAGCCATGCTGGCCCAGAGGGAAGAGCAATCAGCTTACCCACACACTCATAGTCTAAATGAAATAGTTAACTATAAGCCTCTATGTTTTGAGGTGGTGTCTTACAAAGCAAAAGCTAAACAATACAAACATAAGGTAGAAACCCTTGAACATTGATTTTACTCCATCACTGGGAGTCCATTTTCATAACTTTGGTACCCAAGCACAGATCATTAGCAACCAAATTCTCAGGGGCATTGCAGATCCTTAGAGTGTCAACAGTTCAAGCCAGAATCACATAATTATATGCTATGACCTCTAATGTGGTCTTATGATGCAATCACAAGGTGGACATAAGAAAAAATATCTTCACTTTTTTGAGTTTTTAAAGATAATAGACACCTGGACTATATGGAATTTTGAAAATCTTTAAAAGGGCTAACACTATAATACTGAACCAAACAATATATTCATACACTCAAGTTGATAAAATTCTTAATCTATTATGTACAGTGGTTTACACAATTTTTGTCTCTTGAAACCTCATTCCAAAATTATCGATTTTGGTTCCCTTTTTTCAGTTCTTTCAATATAGTGGAAAAAGTAGTTAGCATTCAAATGCAGGTTGACGATGTTATTAACAGTATATAAAAAAATAAAATATGTGAATTTTAAGACTCGCTATTCAATCTCTCTAGGCATTCATTTTAGGTTAACTCACACTTATTCTTTCTTCCTTGTCATCAATCCGAACTTTGTCTTTTTTCCAGTAGATGGTGGGTTCTGGGTGTCCCCGGGGAGGCTGGCACTCCAGGATCGCAGGCTCTCCAGCTGCCACTACGACATCTGTGGGGTTTTGCCTGAAGTCATCTCGCAGCACTGAAGAAAAACAATCATAGAAAAAGAAAAGTCAATGACAGTTCCTTTAGATTTCTCTTGCGAAAGGTAACTTACTTTGTTCTCATAAAAATTGCCAGGACATTTACTGACAGCCAGGTCCAACTTAAAATATTCTAGAGCCAATCTAAGTGTTCACGAACAGGAAAATGGCTGACTATGATAATGTATCTTCGCTATAAAATCTAAATTAAAAAAAAGAAGATAAGTCTAAGGAAAATAAGGCAAGTAATGTTCATGATACAATTCATGAATTATTATATTATTCATAATAATATAAAAACTCAAGGTACAAAACTTTATGTAGTATGATCTTATTTTCTATTTTGAAAGCATACATACATACATGTATATAAATACATTAAAATAAATTGTCAAATTATACTTAAAACCCTGAAACAAGTTGTGTGCACAGGGTCTATGAGCATGAAGGCACGCCTGTCTGGGAGGGAAAGTGGGGTGAGAAGTCTCTGAGACAGCCGTTCCTCATGATGTGAGTATGGACAAGAGCCACACTGTTTTCCTCACACTTCAGAAGATAGACTCATTGTTCCCCCTGCAACGCACTAGCACCCACATACACAGAGCTACATTTCATTCTCTCTGCATCTCCACCTGCCGAGTGACATCTGGGCAGCGTGACACTCGGAGCAGAGATATCCCTTACAGCAGTTTTGCCAGTCTGAATTTCCCCTCCTTTCATTAGGAGAACAGCAGGTTGGACCTCTGCTGTAACCTCCGAAAATCTGGCATGCCTGGCTCTCCAAATGTCACCTATCTATCTCTGTGCGCTTTCTTCCTCTGGCAAGATAGAAAGCCTACAGAAATAACTTGGCCCCATCAGATTGCAGAACACTGAGTTTATTTAGCAAATAAGGGCAAACATTAAAAAAAGTAGTTCAGATAGCTAATATACCACATACCTAAATTGCCTCTGTTTTCCCTAACTTCCTGGGCATTTTCTATTCTTTGATATTGCAACACTGACAAGTGTGTTTCCTAAGTGTGCATATGGGTAAAACAAACAAACATATACACTCAAATTCAGGTATGTGTATATGTACTTGTATTATACATGTATACACACATATTATATATACATATTATATATGCATTTTCACACACACACACACATATATATATATAAGTGAAATAAAAATGAGGCAGCTGGCGCCAGCCTGTTATGTGAGTTAACTGCTGTAAATGTGGATCAGGCCAAACGAGCTGCCTTCGATGTCCTGCAATGAGACCCCCTCAAGATTCTCCTTCTTTGTTGGGCCCAGTCTCTAGGTTAATTGTCATTCTCCAAATAAATAGAAATCTCCTGTCTTGAAAATAGCTTCAGAGACCACAGAGTGACTTTTTGGGCTTTGCTTTTCTTGTCTTTTGCAAAACCTCCTTTAACACTGTTCCCATCTTAATGAAGTCAAGGCCCTTTACGAGATTAGAGAAACTTGTCTCCTATTGAAGGAGCAGTAAGAAAGAATTCAGCACAAATTGCTCACTCTCAGTTTATAAGCTGATTAATTTACTGCTTTCGCTGCTAAGGAAATGTGCTCCATTTTGCCATGGTGAACTGCACATTTTTTTTTTGTTCTTTTGTCTAACTGGCAGGGAAGGTGTGATTTATTTGCGTGAGGATTTGCTTCTGAATGAGCTGAGAGAAGTGTGCATTTCAATACGACATTCGGCAGGGGGATGAGAAGAGGCTTGTGGTTCCCTCTTGCAGGTAAATCCTCCAGGGAGAGCAAGCTGGTAACTCATTTATATTCTAAATCCAGAACAGCTGCCTATTTATGCAATGTTAAGACGTGCAAAAATATGGTAACAGGGTGGTGAGCACCCCTACAATATCTGCTATTGGCAGCAAATGGTGTTTTGGCCAGCCCTCAATCTGTTCCAAAATGATGCATCTGGCCAGTTGCAGGACCTTCTCCAGAGCTGGTCTTCTAATAAATGACATGCCCACAAGTCCTCTGCTCAAATATACTTAGGACCACCTCAAGTCATTCTGAAACACACTTCCACATCAAAGAGCAACAAGATAAATGAAGGAAAAAAAGGTCCTTTGACATGAGGGGACAAAAAAGAGAAAAATATCATAACAAACTAAGGACTGCTCCCTTAAACAATATAACATGTGTTTATAGCATTCACAAAAATAGAAAATGACTCCAATTTGCAAATGAAGCCAAGAAATCTAACATCAACTGTAATTTCAGGCTTTTAGACTACTCACCCAGAGAGTAAGTTGAGATAATAGGATAATTGGTACTGTACCCTCTTCAACTTGTAAAATGCTCTTTGGGGTTTGTATAGTATTCAGTTAATTCATTTTTTGCTTAGCGATACCACTTCTTTTACTCTAAGTCTTTGAGCTAATAAAATGTGTTTCTTCTTTCTTTCTCTCAAATAAAATGTTTAAGAGAAAAATATCTCTTTCAGCAGATTCTATCACAGCAAAGAGAGAACTTGCTTTTAGGAAAAAGTAAAGTCATTTTTACTCATCACAAATTTTTAAGATTATATTTGTTCTGATATTTGCTTATATGTTTCTGAGGTATGTGTATGCATTTATAAACATAAGCAAAGTAAAAAGAAATAATACTTATTTTTCCCAACTTTGAGTTTATTATTCATTTCTACCCTGGATTTTGCCCTGTGCTTAATTGCAGGTGATGGGAATAAAAGGTGTTCTTTATGGCAAAGGATTCATATATGTTGGATGAGGGGGATGAAAATGGTCTTGCAAATGAAACAGAGTAAGTCCTAATTGAGTCTCTGTATTTTTCTCCTTAAGTCCTTATTCTAGAAAGAACCAAAAGCTCCATGTTCAATGTGGCTTGACAGGTAAGCTATTGTAAGAGCATACAGCAACATAGGTATTAGCTATAGCTCCAAACATATCTTTAAATAAGGTGAAGAGAAGTAAACCTGAAGAACTGAAAACAATATGGTAAAATGACAAAAGCTGGGAGGGTATCAGTAAGCTATATTCTAAAGAAAAAAATATAATAGGAACACTATCGATGTAGTACTTGCTGCAGATCTAAGTTTAGAATACAAGACTTCACATCGCCATGGGTAAAATAATTTAATTGGCTACAACTTACATATTCATCTCTGTATATCAGCTACAAAGCAGAAATGAGAGTTCACCCAGCTAGCTAATCATAAACTGGATTAGATTTGATTCTTTTTTACACTGCCATGCACTGTGATTTAGGAAGTTATTTTGGAAGATCAGAAATTTCTGAATGATTAGTGTGTTGGATTAATTATAGTTTACATTTATGGCATAAAGATGTATAACAAATCAATTCAATTCTGCAGAAACATATTGAAAACTAAAATGTGCTTGGCAGTAACCTATAAAATTATTAAGGAACATCAAACAAGAATGATATAACGATGTCATGATAGGCCTTTCCTCTAATGCCCTCAGGGGTCACTCCATCCCTTCTCTAATCCCCTCCTTTGGACTGTGGGCTGGACCTCATAAGTTGCCTTTAATGAACAGAATATTGCAAAGTGATGAAACGGTTCTGATATTAAATTATAAAAGATGATAAATTTCATTCTCATTGTCTTTCTCTCTATTTTTGTCTTTTTCTCTCTATCCCTCTCTCTCCACAAATGTGCTTCTTCAGATCATGTAAGATGCCATGTTGCTCAATAGGGAGGTGCCCTTGGCAATGATCCGGAGGCAGCTTCTGGTCAACAGCAGGCAAGGGACTAAAGCCCTCAATTCACCTTGAGAACCCAAACCTGGACAAATCAGAACCCTAAGTGACAGCTACATGTATGCCTGGGTGCAGACACTGCCCCAGCTGAGTCTTTACATGAGTCCACAGTCCTGACCAACACTTTTATTATAGCTTTGTGAGGGATTCCACAGCAGAGGGCCAGCTAACTCCTATCTGGGTTCCTGACCTCAGACAGTGAAAGAATAAATGGGTGTTGTTTTAAGCCACTACATTTATGGTGATTGGTTATACAGCAATAGGTAACTAATTAGTGACCTAAACAAACTTTATGTCTAGTTGTGCCTTTAGAACTTAATTCCTGTTTCCTCACAATCCCACATTCTTTTACTCACCTAGGCTTCTGTTCTAAATCAATAGTTCTCAGGAATTTTCTTTACCTCAATAAATAAAAGTTTTTTTAAAGTAATAACTTGGACATATCCATCTTAGTTTATTCAAAGAAATCAGGAATAACAATGAGATGAGGCTATATAATTAAAGGCTTCTGAAAGATACATTTCTGAATTACAAGGTACATATGTGTGCAAGGTGACATGAGAATAGTAGAGCCTAAAAATATTATTGAGAAAAGTATTCATATACACCATTGGATAAAGAAAACCACCCACAACAAACTAAATTGATAGTGAGAAGGTATCTAAAATGAAATTGTAATTAAAACCATGGTTAGCCACAGATGAAAACTACAGCAACTCAGAACAATACTAAACATAGGGCTTCTTGGCCAGCAGGTGCTCTCTCTGCACATGTGCTGGCTGCCAGAGCTGTGTGGAACAAGCCTTCTCAGTAGAAAACTGACCACTAGTCTTAAGAGATGCTTATATGGTGCACATTTTTGTTTACGAAGAAAAAATTTAAGGACATCTTGATACTTAGAGGAATACACAGAAGTTTTAGTTGTGCATGTGGATAATGTATGAAATTACACATTGGTTTTCAATAAGATTTTTTAAAATGCTCTTTTGGATCAGTTAGCAGGTATATGCAATAATACTTTTGATCACCTTATTTTAAAAGTGACTGACTTCCAATAAAAAATGAGTATTTAATGAGCATATACCATGTGCAAAATCTGGCATCACAGATATGCAATAGGTCATGTGAAAAGTGGACTTTGAGCTGAGTGTGTCTGATACTAGACTCTTCATGGTCACCACACTACACTGATTTGTGGTATCGCTTGCTTCCATTTACTGTGTCCCCACTGCTCAGAAT